ACGCAACCTTGGAATTTCCCAAGAAATCGACATTGTTTTAAGAACAAAAGATTTTAGGCGCCTGGGAATTTAAAATAGCACAACTGTCAAACAGCACACGCAATACTACACCTATATATGTGTATACTAACAGTATAAATATTACTTTTATATTCATACTAGGACAGTTAACGCTTTAATCATTTAGCTAATCATCTGAATATGGTTTTGGCATTTCTTGATTCTAAAATATCGTAGAAACAACGTATTATGACTATTATAGTATTGCACTCCTTGTGTCATGCAATAAAGTATGAATTTATAATTTTTTTTCAAGAGCAGTTAATGTATTCCATATATGCGGTCTCATGTCAGATATATATACCTATTTCACTATTTCAAGGGGACAACCTTTTTGACATGCACTATATATATATATATATATATATATATATATATATATATATATATATATATATATATATATATATATATATAACTTGTTTTGTTGTAGTAGATAATAAAGTGCTCAACACTAGTATTATAGTAGAGCAAGATATATTTATATCTTAAAATTAATTATTGCTACTCAAGTTTCACGCCTTATTCAAGACGATCTTCAGGCAATTAATTCAGTTAGTGTTTGATTCGTCAATATCAACGGTCGCTGAATCAAACACTAACTGAATTAATTGCCTGAAGATCGTCTTGAATAAGGCGTGAAACTTGAGTAGCAATAATTAATTTTAAGATATAAATATATATATATATATATATATATATATATATATATATATATATATATATATATATATATATATATATATATATATATATAACATATATATATATATATATATATATATATATATATATATATATATATATATATATATATATATATATATATATATATATATATATATATATATATATATATATATATGTATATATATACAATGATATATAAAAATCAATTTAAAAATCAGAGACTATGCAACTTCGACCATCAATTTATTAAAAAAACTAAAACATACTAAAATAAAAGCTGAAAATGTTTTAGTTTTTTTTAATAAATTGATGGTCGAAGTTGCATAGTCTTTGATTTTTAAATTGATTTATATATATATATATATATATATATATATATATATATATATATATATATATATATATATATATATATATATATATATATATATATTCGTTTGGCATTGCCATACCTAATATCAAAGCTTATATATACAATGATATATACATTATACAGGATATATGAAAAAAGGAATGCATCTTTCTCGCTAAATAATTTTAAGAATACTACACTGCTATCTACCAAACTATAAAAGCTTTGGCTATACTGAGGTGCTTATATGGTTCAGAGGTGGTACTTTTAGGCGTGGTCATTGGTAAGTGTGAAATGCCTAGCACTAAAATCTCACAAGAAAATAACCATGCAATAATATTAATAGTTAAACGTCATTTGTGGCTTGCAACTTCAGATAAACAGCAGTGGACTTACATTACCTTTTTCCCGAAATCTTTTTGATAGAAACATAATTGGTACTTATTTAAATATATTATCACTGGTTTGGTGTGAAATAGTTAATATTTTCTGACCGAAATAATAATTTGAAATGTGCCTACCTCCTGCAAATGGACGTATTTGGCCAAGTTCTCCACTTTACTCCGCTGTTTATTGGCGATCTCGTCGACATCCTTCCAAAAATGTAAATCATCTCAGACATAATGGCATCAAGAATATTTTAAACAAGTTTCAACTTGGTTTCAAGTAGATCATAGCTGTTTAACCATCGACAAGGTAAATCCACAACTTCACTGTCCAAATTCGGCGCCATTTTGTCATCCCGTGTCGGTTGTAAACAATTCGGCCTTGTTATTCTTCCATCCAAGCCATTTCCATCAACTAATGACAAATTTAACCCTTTGTTAAGGGTATTCAAATAAAAATACAAATGAAATACGCGAAATGCAGCATTTTATCACCCTGTAAAATGTTGCTTACGAGTCCTTCAAAACATTCCGTACAAATCTCGCGTGACAAAGTAACAGGGAAGTTGATTATTATTTCAGGTTAATTATTTCACGAAGATAGAAGAAGGCTTCGTGAAATAGACTAAATTGATTAAAAGCTAAATACAATCATACAAACGTTTGTTTTATTTGTTGTAGCGACAAATATATACATATTATTATTTATTAATATGAACAAATCATACAAATTAAATGTTGATTGTTGGTTTTACCATACTGTGTGGGCTTTACTTTCATTTTTCAAGTCTCCAGTCCCCTGTTACTAAACCACGCGAGATTTGTACGAAATGTTTTGAAGGACTTGTAAGCAACATTTTACAGGGTGATAAAATGCTGAATTTCGCGTATTTCATTTGTATTTTTATTTGAATACCCTTAACAAAGAGTTAACTTTGTCATTAGCTGATGGAAATGGCTTGGATGGAAGAATAACAAGGCCGAATTGTTTACAAACGATACGGGATGACAAAATGGCGCCGAATTTGGACTAAGTTGTGGATTTACCTTGTCGATGGTTAAACAGCTAAGATCTACTTGAAACCAAGTCGAAACTTGTTTAAAATGTTCTTGATGCCATTATGTGTGAGATGATTTACATTTTTGGAAGGATGTCGACGAGATCGCCAATAAACAGCGGAGTAAAGTGGAGAACTTGGCCAAATACGTCCATTTGCAGGAGGTAGGCACATTTCAAATTATTATTTCGGTCAGAAAATATTAACTATTTTACACCAAACCAGTGATAATATATTTAAATAAGTACCAATTATGTTTCTATAAAAAAGATTTAGGGAAATTGTAATGTAAGTCCACTGCTGTTTATCTGAAGGTGCAAGCCACAAATTGACGTTTAACTATGATAGTTGCATGGTCAGTTTCTTGTGAAATATTAGTGCTAGGCATTTCACACTTACCAATGACCACTCCCAAAAGTACCATCTCTGAACCACATAAGCACCTCAGAATAGCCAATGCTTTTATGGTTTGGTTGATAGCAGTATGGCGAAACCGTCGTTTTTTGGTGTGGTCAGTTTCGGACGTTTCGTCCCGGATTGGGGTTCGGGCAGCGTTACCATGTTGACCGTCATCGCCAACTTGCCCTAAAACAGTTGAGATTATCTGTCCTAAATGAAATGCATACAAACTCATATACAGGTCCTAGACTATAGGTTCCGTTGACAAAATAAGCAAATTTGTTTAACTTTCGATTTGTCATTGTATAGCAAATTTTTAAGTCTCCCTTCTCAGTCGCTTGAAATAATTCTCCTTTCTGCGAACCAAGAACGCAAATATAAAAAGCAAACCACCGTTGAAAAGCTAAATAGCTAGGTTTCAAATTGAATATAAAAGTTAAAATATTACTGTTCAATTATTTGTAAATTCACGTTTGAATCGAATTTATACACCCTGAATATATATATATACTTTGTAAAATTGACAAGCATGCAATATGGACTTCAAATTTAAAGGTAAAATTTATTTGCAACATATTGGGTATTGTGATTTTGTGTGGCAAACACGACAAGGGGAGCTAGAATATCCCCATGTTAAAATTACATGCGGACAGTTAAGGAATATAATCTACTAGTTACTGTATGAATTTTCATATCTTGTTTTACGTTAATTGCTTTTAATGACCATTTTCTTTATTTCCATAGAATTGGATTATATTCGTCGGAAATTACCATCAGTTTTAAAAGAAGGTGAACCTAACTTATTACTTGTTCCAAAAGGTATGTAGCAAAATATGCGTTTTCAGTTGTTGAAGCGCGCCAATAAACCTTTCTTATTCTCTTGAGCCAGTTTAATTTGCTTGACATATGCACAACATTTAGGTGACACTTAAATTTAAATTGAAATTATCAGAAATTCGTAAAATATTTTATTTGTTGTTGGTTTGTGATGAACTTTGTGATGACTCACATGTAGTTGATTAGCAATTGCATGGTGAAAATGTGATACAAATTAGACTATACTCCCCGAAGAAAGCTGAAAAAGGTTTACTAATCACTGTATAAAATTCACCACTTTCATAAATGAATAAATTAAATATTTTTATGCAGTGTACTAATAAGCCTTCTTGGCATCGTTCAGATAACCGTTCTGAAATTTTGTTAAGCCTGGTTCACATATGCCTGCGGCATGCCTGCGAAGTAGTATAGGAACTACGGGTTCGAGACCACTTCACCCCTCCGAAAAAAACCCATTTTAATTCACCTAGAGCTCCTACGAGGCCACTTTTTGGTGACCAAATTTCCAGGAATCAAGTAGATCGAAATCGGTGTTATAGAGAGGATTCAAGGGCCTTTTCGTAAAAGTTCCCTTTCGTGTTACATTGCTCAACCGTTGGCCACATTTGCGCGCACGAACGTTATCCTGGCCCAACTTTGGTGACCTTCCCCAGACAAGACATAACGTCAGATTCCATCGTCAGAATCAAAATTCAAGCTTTTCAAGGACAATACTGTGTAAACCCCTTAGTACAACTTCATACTAACCAGTTATCCTTCAGAATCACAAGTAAACATTCTCAGTGAACCTCACAAGACATCATTTCATCTTCACATAAGAATTCACACTTTCCAGGGTCCAACACCCCCAGACAAGACATAACGTCAGATTCCATCGTCAGAATCACAATTCAAGCTTCTCAAGGACAATACTGTGTAAACCCCTTAGTACAACCTCATACTAACCAGTTATCCTTCAGAATCACAAGTAAGCATTCTCAGTGAACCTCACAAGACATCATTTCATCTTCACGTGGGAATTCACACTTTCCAGGGTCCAACACCACCAGACAAGTCGTAACGTCAGATTCCATCGTCAGAATCACGAGTCAAGCTTCTCAAGGACAATACTGTGTAAACCACAAGGGACAGTCTCAAAGTGATCAGGTACAAGTCACAATCATAAGGAATCACTCTCAATCACCAGTTGATGCACCATCACGAGCACAAACCGCAGAATCACCCACTCCCAGGATTCAAATACCTTTCCAACTTAGGTTCTAAATCCATACTCTCAAGAATCTGTTTCTCCTTCAGCTTTCTCCTCAACCACTCACCATAGAACTTACAGTTTGATGGTTCCCACCCAAGTTCAGGATAGACTTTCCCAAAGAGCAGATCTTCGCTGTTTAGCACAGCATTTTCGAGCTTAGCATCCCCCACACCAGTTTCAATTCCAAGCTTACTACACACTCGAACAATCATAAGCTTATTCAGAGGTCTCCTAGCAACTCCACCAATCTTATCAATCACACTGTTAATCTCAATGAGGGCCTCCATAATCCTATCAAACTCTTCACCAGAATGATACTCTCCAGGTACCACAATACAATCACCTTTTTTCCACCTCTTTATTATTAGCACTCCATAGGTAATAAATAAACGCGCACATTAACGCATTAAATCGCAACTTCAACCACAGACTTTACCCTGACTTACCGCACTTCACAAGCCCCTCGTTATATCCCATCTTCTTTCTCCACAAATGCTCTTGCCACCTTTCACGCCAATCTTTCCATTCATACCCAACATAAGAAAGTTGAGCGCTCCAATCATTATCCAATCCCTGCTTCAACCTGTCAGCCCACATCCTACAGTAAATATATCTGCTAACATCAATTTGTAAGTGAGGGACAATAATACCGTAAAACAGGAACTCATGCTTAGACTTATCATTAGATGGCAGGGTATCTCTTAGACAATCCCTTACAGCACAACCGAGAGCACTGCACAGTCTCACGATAAGGAATCTAATGCTAGGGCACCCCTTCAAGTCCTCACAGTACATTAGCCTGTAGACATTCACAAGATGTTCAACAACCTCATCAACATTATTATCAGCCACATATTTTACAACACTCCTTCTCATATATGAAGGGTAGGTAATTCTACTTTGCCTACATAACCTATACTTGCCAGCCTCAACACTACACATCATACCAGCAATCTCAATATCATTCTTAAGGAAAACACAGGTGCCCCCATTGGAATAACTTCTTGAGAACATTATTTTTTTATGCTATACCTTACACAGTGTTTGTGAACCTAATATCGGAAGTACATGCTAGCATGACCAAGGAATCCATCATAACCTTTACATTTACCGCAGAATTCACATGTTCACCTCTGTGATGCAGCCTATGACAGGCCAGCTTTGGAACTGTCTCCCTTAGACAGCAACCACATATTCCTGACCTACGTCTTTCACTACGATCAGTGGACTCAGATATGAACCGATTACTGCAATGTCTACAAAGACTTCCATGAGTGTACTTGTACTTTTCCCGGTTACAACCTACATCTAATAATGTAAAATAGTTTATAATTTTTAAAGACAACCCACACTTATACAGTGTAGCTAAAACTTCAAATATCACCCCCACAGTAGGAAGTAAGGATGAACCGATTTAGAAGGGTAGCACTAGAAACAGCATATATGCGGTGACTTCACAAAGTTGACAGAAGCCTTTTCATACCTTAGTCTACCACTGGGGAAGGATACCTTTTCTACATAACAAAGTTTCTACATAATAATAATTTAATTTAATTTAATTTAATTTAATTTAATTTAATTTAATTTAATTTAATTTAGTAATCTGAGAAATTTATCCTTGTCAGCTGTGTCCTATGATGGATGATCTTTGTTGTGAGAATGTTCTGTGGGTGAAGATTATGCTGATAGTGACTGTGTTTGATGAGCCGGCCTCGATAAATTTAGAAACCCGGGCAGGATCGTTTCTGTGGTGTTGCTGAATGTGTTGTTTGACTTATGATCTTTGTTGTGAGAATGTTCTGTGGGTGATGATTATGTTGATATTGCCTGTGCCTGATGAGCTGTCCTGATTAATTTAGAATCTACAAAAGGTGAACGAATCGTTCACCTTTTGTAGGTGTTGCCCGATGTATGATCTTTGTTATGAGAACGTTCTGTGGGTGAAAATTATATTGATACTGATTGTGCCTGACCATCTGACCCTGATGCCTGTGAAATATCAAGGGGGTAGCTCTGAGCGACTCCTTGCTGAGCTTCCTTGATTAGATGAAATATAGTGTGTAACCTGTCTACGATCAAATATGTTGTTACTGTGGAGGGTGGTTAATGAGCCGCCCCTGATGACTGTGGTATAGTAGACGGAAAGATAATCTTGGCTATGTTAGATGGAGGATACTGTTTTAATCTTATCATTACTCTGTGTGGGGATGATGTTGTTGTACATGAAAAAAACCTCCGATTATGATCATTTAGATGGAATCAGTGTGAAGCGTCGGTGGGAGGGTAAACATGGGGTTGAAGAAAGATGACGGTTACTTTGTTGAGTTTACTTGACTTTACTTAATTTCTACTTGTAAGATATCTTGGATCTACTAGGATTTTACTTGATAGATACCTTGGAGTTTGCTGTTGAGATGTCTAGAATAAACTGGGGATCTACTTGTGAGGTATCTTAAATTTGCTTGTGAAATATCTACTGAGATGTCTTAAATCTACTGGTGAGATATCTGCAATCTACTTGTGAGGTATCTACTGAGATGTCTTAAGTCTACTGGTGAGATATCTACTGAGATGTCTTAAATCTGCTTGTGAGATATCTACTGAGATGTCTTAAATCTACTTGTGAGATAACTATGATCTCCTTGTGAGGTGTCTACTGAGATGTCTCAAATTTACTATGAAATGAGTGGGTTCATCTATGTAGACATCTATGTAGATGTCTATGTGGATGTCTATGTAGATGTCTATGTAGATGTAGATGTCTATGTAAATGTCTACACTATGTGAATCATCTACTGTATGTTGCTGTTGAATGTTTGACTGTTGTCTGCTCCTCTTGTTGGCCCGTGTTGACTATGTGACCGATTGTGGTGATCCTTGCACTTGAATCTGTGAGGATGCTATCGATGATTCTCACTCTACATGTGTCACCTATCTTCATCATTGTTGTGTTAAAAAGATTGCCTTCCTTATCCCTGTGTAACTCTGGGGGGAGGTTGGTATTTGTAACTATGATGTCAACTGGAGGTGATGTTAGTACTGGTACATTCGCTGTGATCTTTGTTATTTGCGCGTCTACAATTATCCCTTCCACTGGTCTACATAGGGTGCACAGGAATTTCACCGTGAAGTATGCTGACGCTGTTGTATCCTTAGGTATGATTACTCCACCGTATAAGTTTTCTATCCCGTGGATTGATGTGACTATCCCGTGATCCCCGCAACATTTTCCTAGTACTGCTTCATCTAGATTGCTTCTGATGTTGGCTAGTATGTTGTTACCCATCTGATGGGGAAGTAGTGCTATACACTTTGTGATAGTTCCAATTGTGAAGAGTGATGGTGAGTCCATGGTTGTTCCTACTATATTGGTAATTTTTTTTTTAATTCTTTTTTTAATTCTTGTTTTAATTCTTTTTTTAATTCATTTAATTATGTCATTCATATTTGATAGTCTGACTCCCCCCTAGGTATGGGTACACTTCATAGTTCAGTAGTGGTCCCTATGTGATTCCAAAAATTGGGTCACATAGTACTTTAGGTTGATCGATAAGCTTTGTTATGTAGAAAAAGTATCCTTCCCCAGCGGTAGACTAAGGTATGAAAAGGCTTCTGTCAACTTTGTGAAGTCACCGCATATATGCTGTTTCTAGTGCTACCCTTTTAAATCGGTTCATCCTTACTTCCTACTGTGGGGGTAATATTTAAAGTTTTAGCTACACTGTATAAGTGTGGGTTGTCTTTTAAAATTATAACCTATTTTACATTATTAGATGTAGGTTGTAACCGATAAAGTGTGGGAAAAGTACAAGTACACTCATGGAAGTCTTTGTAGACATTGCAGTGATCGGTTCATATCTGAGTCCACTGATCGTAGTGAAAGACGTAGGTCAAGAATATGTGGTTGCTGTCTAAGGAAACAGTTCCAAAGCTGGCCTGTCATAGGTTGCATCACAGAGGTGAAACATGTGAATTCTGCGGTAAATGTAAAGGTTATGATGGATTCCTTGGTCATGCTAGCATGTACTTCCGATATTAGGTTCACAAACACTGTGTAAGGTATAGGATAAAAAAATAATGTTCTGAAGAAGTTACTCCAATGGGGGCACCTGTGTTTTCCTTAAGAATGATATTGAGATTGTTGGTATGATGTGTAGTGTTGAGGCTGGCAAGTATAGGTTATCATGTAGGCAAAGTAGAATTATCTACCCTTCATATATGAGAAGGAGTGTTGTAAAATATGTGGCTGATAATAATGTCGATGAGGTTGTTGAACATCTTGTGAATGTTTACAGGCTAATGTACTATGAGGACTTGAAGGGGTGCCCTAGCATTAGATTCCTTATCGTGAGACTGTGCAGTGCTCTCGGTTGTGCTGTAAGGGATTGTCTAAGAGATACCCTGCCATCTAATGATAAGTCTAAGCATGAGTTCCTGTTTTACGGTATTATTGTCCCTCACTTACAAATTGATGTTAGTAGATATATTTACTATAGGATGTGGGCTGACAGGTTGAAGCAGAGATTGGATAATGATTGGAGCGCTCAACTTTCTTATGTTGGGTATGAATGGAAAGATTGGCGTGAAAGGTGGCAAGAGCATTTGTGGAGAAAGAAGATGGGATATAACGAGGGGCTTGTGAAGTGCGGTAAGTCAGGGTAAAGTCTGTAGTTGACGTTGCGATTTAATGCATTAATGTGCGCGTTTATTTATTACCTATGGAGTGCTAATAATAAAGAGGTGGAAAAAAGGTGATTCTATTGTGGTACTTGGAGAGAATCATTCTGGTGAAGAGTTTGATAGGATTATGGAGGCCCTTATTGAGATTAACAGTGTGATTGATAAGATTGGTGGAGTTGCTAGGAGACCGCTCAATAAGCTTATGATTGTTCGAGTGTGTAGTAAGCTTGGAATTGAAACTGGTGTGGGGGATGCTAAGCTCGAAAATGCTGTGCTAAACAGCGAAGATCTGCTCTTTGGGAAAGTCTATCCTGAACTTGGGTGGGAACCATCAAACTGTAAGTTCTATGGTGAGTGGTTGAGGAGAAAGCTGAAGGAGAAACAGGTTCTTGAGAGTATGGATTTAGAACCTAAGTTAGAAAGGTATTTGAATCCTGGGAGTGGGTGATTCTGCGGTTTGTGCTCGTGATGGTGCATCAACTGGTGATTGAGAGTGATTCCTTATGATTGTGACTTGTACCTGATCACTTTGAGACTGTCCCTTGTGGTTTACACAGTATTGTGCTTGAGAAGCTTGACTCGTGATTCTGAAGATGGAATCTGACGTTACGACTTGTCTGGTGGTGTTGGACCCTGGAAAGTGTGAATTCCCACGTGAAGATGAAATGATGTCTTGTGAGGTTCACTGAGAATGCTTACTTGTGATTCTGAAGGATAACTGGTTAGTATGAGGTTGTACTAAGGGGTTTAAACAGTATTGTCCTTGAGAAGCTTGAATTGTGATTCTGACGATGGAATCTGACGTTATGTCTTGTCTGTGGGTGTTGGACCCTGGAAAATGTGAATTCTTATGTGAAGATGAAATGATGTCTTGTGAGGTTCACTGAGAATGCTTACTTGTGATTCTGAAGGATAACTGGTTAGTATGAAGTTGTACTAAGGGGTTTACACAGTATTGTCCTTCAGAAGCTTGAATTGTGATTCTGACGATGGAATCTGACGTTATGTCTTGTCTGGGGTGGGTCACCAAAGTTGGGCCAGGATAACGTCCGTGCGGCCAAATGTGGCCAACGGTTGAGCAATGTATCACGAAAGGGAACTTTCACGAAAAGGCCCTTGAATCCTCTCTACAACACCGATTTCGATCTACTTGATTCCTGGAAATTTGGTCACCAAAAAGTGGCCTCGTAGGAGCTCTAGGTGAATTAAAATGATATTTTTCGGAGGGGTGAAGTGGTCTTGAACCCGTAGTTCCTATACTACTCTGGGACTGTATCATTATGCCTCTACTTGCCGCCGAAATACCGGCAAAGTTGAGCTCAAGTCAACTTCCCCGGCCTACCGCCGATGTAACTGTGGCACTGGAGGCAATCGGTGAACAAATATTCACATAATTCACGTTTTAAGCTACCACCGGCATCGTCGCCGGTACGTCGCAGGCACGTCGCAGGCATATATGTGAACCAGGCTTTAAATTTCAATAATAGAAACGCGTTTTAAGGTGGTCTTATACAAAAACTTTTCAAGATTTGCCAATTTTACAATAATACAAAAACATGTTTATTACACTGTTCTTCATAACATCCGCTGGTTTTAAATCATGAAAGTATATCAAAACGCGAGAAATCCGGTTTAATCTACACCAGTCAGGGTAAAACCATGATTTTACCCAGAGCATATAATGGTATGCAATTGGTTTACTCTATTGTGTCCCTTTTTAATGGCATTGTTCTATTTAAGTTATTCTAATGCATGCAAAACCTTTAAAGAGCTTCTCACGCGCTTTCAAAAATTCTCCTGAACTTAGTAATGAATCAATTCGCCTAAAATTTTTGGTGTTTATACATCATTGAACGAACCATGATTTGAACCTAAAAACACTTACGCACAGGGATTATATCCGGCGAAAAGAACGCTTTATTGGAGCCTTTTCATTGTATGCTTGTAGAAAAGATAACTATGGAGGTTTTAAACTTTAAACTCTGTTTTTTTTAGGTTCAAATCACAGACCAAACTTTTTGGTGCCGAATAAAACTTTGTTTGAGATTCCCGTAGTTTCGTTCGGTTTGAATCTTTTTTGGCGCAAGCCCTATATTTTACCCTACCGGCAGCCATTTCTAAGTTACTATGGCAAAACGAAATGTAAAAGTAACTGATTCTGTATCAGTCAAACGTCCTCAATCATATTTGACTTAAATATGATTGAAAAATGGTTAAACAAAAAAAATTGTTTTTAGTGTATAAGACCACCTTAAAGTGCTTGTAACAGAAGTTGAGTATTCAATTTTTGACTGTGACGACTCTATCTTAAAGTCGCTCCATAAATTGAACACAACGATTTGTATTGGACAGTCACAAAATATCGAAAAATATCAAAACTTGAAAGCAATAACTTCGATTAATGTGGAGGCAAGAATAGTTGGAGAGAGAGAGAGAGAGAGAGAGAGAGAGAGAGAGAGAGAGAGAGAGAGAGAGAGAGAGAGAGAGAGAGAGAG